ATTTCAAAGTTAAACACATTTATTTGAGTAACAATTCCAAGTGTAAATAGTTGAATAAATTCATAAATGATTGAAACAACATGAGGGCGAGTATATGGTGACAGAATTGTCATTATAAAGTGGAGTATCCCTTTAACAATCAATTGTTTACTTATCCATTAAAATCAGCTGAAATGTTACAGAGTTATTAGTTAGTAGTTGCATAGAACCCATATTTGTGGATGAGAGCTCTTTTAAGACCATCTATTATATACTATTATTGAAGTTATGTATCAGGCTATTGGCTGCGTAATGTAAGATGGTGTGTACAGTGGCTACTGTATCACTCTGCTGTTTTATAAACCTCTTAAAATTGTCATGTGTCAGTTCCCTTAACACATTCACACTTTGTATTAAATTGAAACATGCAGGACAAAACTTATAAAAGTTGTATATGAGTGTACATTATGTAATTTAGGTTGGCTTTTATAAACGTGTTGAAAGATGTTTTTGTAAAATAAACCAGCCCTCAAACTTTAGACTATGCTGTTGTCCTTTATAAAAGGATATTAAATGTATGTAGAATTACACACTGGCAAATCTTACTAATAATTCAATTACATTTTATTTATAGTATCAAATCATAAGAAATTAAAAGAAAAACATTACAAATGGAGTAGGTCTAGACCACACTATAATTTACAAAGACCCAACAATTCTAGTAATTCACTTCATGAGTCTGTGGACTGTGTTTTGTCTGACAGCAGTCTATCTGGGCATGTATATGTCTTGGCCAATAACTCAGATAAAATGACTGACCTATAGAAGGCCTCAACATTCTGCACTGCTTCTGTAAAAAAGTCAGCATCAGGCAAAATTCTCTGTATAAAAAAATTGGATGTAGACCACACCATGAAGTCACAAAACTTCCGCTTCGTCACAAACAACTGGGCTTGCACCTGGTAGTGGTATTGATGATCTCTGTTAAGTGCATGTGTACCATTTGTGTTCTCAATGCAGAAATGTTTCTTTTCAGTGGCACTGAGGACTCCGGTGTCTTTGGCACAGTGTGGGCACTTGATTTCCAAAATGCCATCGCCACAGCAGGAGCAGGACAGCAAGGCATCTGGAGATGCTCCAAGGTAGGGACGGGAGGTATCAATGTGGAGACCAGCATCACGAACACTTAGGTCCTGATGATGTTGTGCAGCGTAAGCCTCATATGTCTCTCTGGCTTTTTGTTCATGTTCACATCCCCATCTGAAAATGAGAAAAATAATGTTATTAAAGGAATAGTTCACTTTAAAATGATAATTTTCATATACTCACCCTCATATTGTTTCAAACCTGTATGAATTTCTTTCTTCTGCTGAACAGAAAGGAAGATACTTAGAAGAATGTCAGTAACCAGACAGTTTCTGGGTCCCATTGACTTCCATAGTAGAAAAAAAATATACTATGGAAGTCAATGGGACCCAGAAACTGTCTGGTTACTGACATTCTTCTAAATATCTTCCTTTCTGTTCAGCAGAAGAAAGAAATTCATACAGGTTTGAAACAACATGAGAGTGAGTATATGATGACAGAATTTTCATTTTAAAGTGAACTATTCCTTTAAGTCATCGTAGCTCTTTGAGTGCCCTTTTCATTGGATTTGTTCTCTCATTTCCCTAAGAACTATAAGTACTATAGATGTCAGTACCCAAAATTGGCCTAATCTTAATAGCACATAATATTCTCTTGTATCATATTCTATCACAGATATCACAGAGTAATTTAAAAAGGTGTAAATTAAATATAACAGGAACCATTTAAAAGGAACATTAGGAATAAATAGGCAAAGGACCTACACCATACACCTGGGATTAAAAATAGATAAGGGCACTCAAAGAGATTGAGGGATGTAATCTGTCATCATGTTTGTAATTTAATGTTGATAATTTGTAATACTGACTATAATATATATTCCAATGATAAATGCATTTCTTTGTCTTGTGTTTGTTTCTTTGATGTTTTTTTTAAGCAGGGGCCCTCTACATTAGAACATAACATGTATTGCATACATTTCCATAGTTGAAACATAAGTTCAAAGAACATCTAATTTCTTTACTCACTTACACTATGATGAAATTAAAAACAGTAACTGTATGTTTGTGTCATTATGTCACACATGCCTGGTTGCAACTGTTGAAAATATGCATAGGTCAGGGTAACAGATCTGCCTAATTAGGGATTTGGAAGGATTTGTAGGGTCTGTCCTTGCAGCTGACTTGAACCTAGATGCTGTCACCCTACCAGCCCTCATGTCAAACCATAGCCTTGACTTTCCCTGTTGTCGTGTCTCTTCCTCAACTTTTACTGCCTACAACATTGTAAATTATAGAAGATGAAATTAATGACATGACACCTTAAAGCACATTTTAGTCATATGAGATTAAGAGGGATAACTATACCTGCTCTGGTGTGACTTCCATATCATTGAATACCGCATCACATTTTTTCTCAAGGTCCGAGGCAGACAGCTTCCGGTTCTGAGCACTGTATAACTCAGTCAGGGGCTGTGGTAGACCCAGAGACACCACGTTTGGGTGAAACTGTTTACAGTAGTGTGGCAGTATGCGTAGGATACCACTCTTCTCTGAAGGGTTTGGAGTTGCATTATCCAGAGCCTTGTAGAATTGTTCTATAGCTGCTGCAGACATACACACTTTTTTCTCAGATGGACAACCTGAATGGCTTTGGTTGTTTACACCACAACGCTTTTTGGCAGGATTTGAGAAATCAATTCCTGATCCCTCTTTGTACAAAGCCTTGCCCGATTTCAAAGGAGGAAGTCCCCACTGTCTGGGCCCATCAGTGCAGCTTTTGTCTTCCAGATGTTTAACAGCAGAGTCTATTGCATACAGCAGAGCTGTCACATGGGAGCACACCTTTCCCAGGCCCGCTTTACATGTACAGTGGCCGCACAAGACTGTCCCATCCTTCTTCAAAGATACCCATGGTTGTAGTTGGGTTTCAGACAGTGACTGACTGTGATGCACCTACAATTACAGAAAGTGGCATAAATACATTATTCTTACATGAATGTTATTGTGATGTTATTATTTAGTGCTGCAGTGACACCATAAATGCCCCTTGTGATTACTACGGATCACAGACACACCGTGATTTACTGTCTGCATGGATTAACGTGTGATCGATAATTAATGAATGCACTTCCCCGAGCTGGGATGCGTCCAGGCATCCATTAAAAAGCCACGGCCGACCATGTCCTCTAAAATCATAGGCTACGTGTTATATAAATATTTATCAAGAAATAACAGACCGCATTCTACATTAGAATTCAACTAAGCCATGTAATAATACAAAATAAACCATAGATCGATGTCTTACCTTTGCCATTATGAGGTCCCTCCCCCCGCCGTTAGTGTAGCATCGCGTTCCTGTAACCCAGCCAGCTACAAAGAACTGGTAAGCATCCAGACTTTTAAAAGCTTTGAGATCAGCACCAGTGTATGGGGATACCCCGTTTACCACATAGTGGTACAAATCGTGTGGGCCGAAGTCAGGCAGACTCGGCGATTTAATGAGGTCCGTGAAAACTGAGGGAGGAAGAAGGTAAGGGTCTGTATCCAAACCTGCTATCTCCAACTTCTCCAAATATCGTTCTTTGTGAGCACTTACCAGATGCCCTACCTCGACTGATAACGGCACTACAACTTCTTCAATAGAAGAAGCCATGAAGTTTAGTGGTAACGTTAACGTTATCTATTTTAATCTGTTTAAAACTATTCAAATTTCCCGCTCGTCTACTACTGCTCAGCCTGCGCGTTCAGTGATTTTGCCATCCAGCATGGCGTCGTCACGTGGTCGTGGTCACGTGTTTGCAAAGGGTCTATACTCATTGATTTTACCGCCAGTGTCTTTAAGCAAGACAAATGGGCTATTGAACATTAAGTGTCCACACAAACATTGAAATATATATAAAAAAAAACATTGAAAGATATTACACCCAGAAAACTGCATATAAAGCTAACTTTACCATGGCGTTGAGATTCCATTTCCGTACATGTATACATCATCAATAGAGAATAGCAGGGAGGCATACCTGAAAGTGGGTTCGGGTTTAAACCTTAACTCTGGCGCCATGGTAAAATTAACTTTATTCAGTTTTCTGGCTATGATATCTTTCAACAAAAGCAAGCTACATCCATTTTCCAAATTTATTTACGGTCGATTTTTAAATGAATATTTCAATTGTTTTGTGTACACTTTATGATCAATAGCCCAGCTGTCTTTCTTACAGTCACTGAAGTGCAATTATTAATAAATAAAGAACACATAATATGAAAGTTACATGGTGTGCATTGTCCCCAGTTTAATGCTTAAAGCACACTTACCTGGACATGTCTGTATTGTTTAGGTCTACAACTAATAGTCCATAAAAAAAATTCTATCTTTTGTACTTTAGATGGGTACAGCGCAGTTAGTATTGCGAGATATCGCAAAAATGCATGTCACCTTTGCAAGATTTTGCAAAAGTGCATTTTTTTTCCCCAACCACTGATTTTTTTTCCCCCTCCATATCTCTTCCAGGGCTCCATACAAAGGGGAAAAGCCTTTAAATTCATTAAAATTAAGTAATTTAACTGAAAGAATTCTTTTTGTTTGTTTTGGGTTTTAAACTTTATGAAACCTCATGAAAGCAGTATATATCATGTAAATATCATACAATGAATTAGACTTAGTTGGGCAAGACAAGTTAAAATTCTCATTTTCACTGCTTACTATCATATATACAACTATAATAAGTAGAAAGATGGTTTATTATTATTATTTATTTATTCAGAGTTAGATTCATGAAAGAAATGTAATGATTCTTACATACAACTGTGGTGCAACTCAGACATATCATCAGTGATGTATCCTGGGGTCATTGGGTGTTTCAAGCCCTGGCTTGTGACAGAGCAGCCTGTATAGTCCACGGATCACCCTGCTTGATCCACAGCCATCTTGACACCTTTTCGACAGGGTCTGTGATGTTCTTGACGGCTTTCCTCATGTGCAGTCCCTTCACCCCGAGCAAGGGTCCTTATGAGTGACTGGCTGACGAATCCTCTACACCCGACCTTGATGGGATAAGACCAGGTCCTCCACCCCCTGCTTCGTCATTCGCCTGCCAGCTCCCCATACTTGGCCCTCTTCCTCTCAAAGGCCTCCTCCATCCGGTCTGCCTTGTTGGTTGCTGGTGTCTACTGCAGGTGATCCCATTACTGTTGACCTCTGCAATGACCCTCAACACTTGGTCATGGCACCAACGGCAGCGCCCTTCCCCAGCACTCTTGGACGGCAGCTCAATATGTGCTCCAATGAACCTCCTCTCTGGCAGAAGAGGCACAGGGAATCCACACAAAACAACCTGGTACCATGCAAAAAACACAGTGGATTGCAAATACTTAACAGCAGTGAAACTGAAATTTAAAGAAAAAAAATACCAATATAACTCCTGAGATCCTGTGCTACAGTGGTGCCTGCGGTTCACGAATACTGTGGTCTATGAACAATTTGGTTCACGACCAAAAATTTCATGAAAAAAATGCAATGGTTAGTGTACAAAATTTGGCTGATGAACAGATTCCTTGACCAGATTCTTTTTTTTTATACTAGTGTAGCATCGGTGGGGTGCATGTCCCAGCATGCCCCACGTGCAATTGTTAATAGAAGGACCACAACAGGCACCCAACGAGCACCAAACCCAAATACGCAGACGGGAAACACAAGGTTGTAAGACGCCGAACTGCAAAATGCACCCACAATGGAAGATTTACACATGCTAAATACACGTGAGGATCGGACCAGGTACACACAAGACATGGGCAAACACACGTGCGACAACAGGGAAATGCACCCATTAACATTAACGTCAATACAAGGGTTAAGGACTAAGAGCGTGATTTCTCCGGCAAGCAAGTCTCCATGTTTCTCTCTGCTCCTGAGATGCCTGGTCTCCGCCTGTCGCCACACTATATTGTGTTTTTCTTAAAAGTTTTTAATTATAAAAACCAGAAAATTCATGAAAAAAATTATTATTTGGTAGGCTTGCGAATGAATGAATTGAATTTCAATGCTTTTTTATGGGAAAAATTGCCTTGGTTCGCATATGAATTGATTCACAACCACTTTCTTTACATATCACCGAAATATATAAAAGAACGATGACGTACAGTAAAAATGAAAACATCACTGAGTTATTTAATGCGTGCTGTTAAGTGCTGATATCCACCTAAACTACATCATCAGTGTACACATCCACAGTTCTGCATGTGTTTATGTTGAAAATGGCAAGGGGGGAAAATCAGAATGCCGATGAGACAAAATCAGAACAAAATGTTGATTTTTTTTGGTGGCTTTTTAAGTCTCTGTGTTGTGAGACCTTGAGGGCTCTTATATCTCCAGACAGCTTTATGGATTCAGGGTTTGTTTGTCAAAGCCATTTTGGATGTAAGCACTTTTAATGCATCCAGTTAATATTACTATAAATGTGTTTAACAGCACAGTTTTATTTGCTCCATGTTTTGCCTTTAGGTATTTTTCCTTGTTTTGAAAACAGAACATTCTTCTTCTTTCTGCTGATACAAATACCCAAGATTACAAAAACACCCTACTGGAACATCCATAATTATTTAAAGTATATATAGAAATTGTGTAGGCCCATTAAAATTCATTGTGGAAGAATGCCAAAAGCCACAGTTAGACCATTTACAATTGACAAACTTGTACACTTTATATGTGTGCACTCTTTGAATAACAGGCATGTAGGACAAGTTTTTCGTGGCCCCAAAAGCTACATCTGTGTTTGGTTTTAGTTATTGCAATTATTCCTGAATAAATATAGTTTCTCTGGTAAACATCCCTTTTTTAACAAAATGGTGACTCAATAGCAACAGAGAGCATTAAAACTAAAAATGGATCTAAAAATGACAATCCTTAAATATCTCACGGAGGACTACCATTAAGAAATACAAAGTATGAGGCAACTTTGAAACTTTACTTTGATCAGGCTGCACCACCAAAACTAATGAAAGAATTTGAAATACACACATCATAGGCACCACCAGCAATTCAGTGTGATACAAGCTGTGAATATTTATATCACGGTTTTGGTCTCGGTTTCAGAACTGTTACACCCTTAATTTACACACAGTGTTTCCTACAGAATTAGTGGTGGTGGCTGACAGGTGTGTCGGTGTATGTGCGCAAGGGCAAGGAGGAACACCAATACTTACTTAAATTAATTATCATTATGCATGATTTTCTTGCTTCTTTACGGTAAAAAAAAAAATAAAAACAGAACCATACATATGATATGCAATGTGAAGTTCACTAATAGGTTCTTCCATTTACAAAGGCTCAGTGACATAGTAGGATATTTAAAAGTCTGTAAGCCAGGTAAAGGTTCTTAAAATTACAGAAATGAAATAAAATGGTGTATCTTACTAAATATTTTAAATACATAAATCTCTCAAAGTATTTTGTTACAAATTACATCAATTTTTTTTCTGTCCAGCTAAATAAAAATGACAAAATACTCAAAAGTAATGAAATACATACTTTAAATACATTTAATTGAAACACTGCCCATCTCTGGATAGAACATATTTTTGTCTTGTGCAGAATGTCATGTGTCATAAAATAAAATAAAAACATTAATTCTGCAAAAATAGTGAAGGTACCATCACTCTTTCTACAGTATTGGAGAACTTCTGAGAATAAATAGGAAGCTGGGTGGTACTAAACACAGACATTCTTGAAGAAAAGTGTCTTTCTGCCTTTTGGAACACAATTGAAACTAGTAAAAAAAATACATTTCAGTGTAAAAATTAACCAAAATATAGTATAGTGTGGCAAAGAGAGAAAAGACTAATGTCCTAGGGTCACCCTGTAAGCAGCTAGATCACTAATTAACTAAAAGATTGATAAGTAATTTGACGGGGGAAGTCCACCAAGAGTATCCCAAGATATGACTGTCAAGTGAGCAAATATGAACAAATACAGGTATGCTAAATATATGGCACTAATTTAGTCAAAATCTATTTATGACACTTGTCAGCAAGTTCTGTAGTCTTTTTTAAACCTATTTATGTCAAGGTCAGCACCCGTCTGATTCCACCCTCTGTGACCTTTCCCCATTTGGCCAGCAGCCATTACTGGTCATTCTGCCTTTCCCCCTCTCTGTCATTTAGTCCATCTCTGTCCTAGGTGTTCAGTCCCCGTTTCGCCAGCAGGTGTTGCTGGCCATCCTGTTCCTCCTCTGTCCTAGTCTTTAGTCCCTAGTGTGTCTTCCCTACTTCCTAGACCGCTGTATAGTTTGGTGGGTTAAACAAGCGGCTCAGAGATGGTTTAATTCTCTAATTGTGGGTTCAAGGCTAGCCTCATCTGTTTATTGATATATTTATTAGTTTTATTCCTCTGTATTTCTTGTTTTCTCTTTTCCCAATAATAGGTTGCCCTGCTGTTTTTCTGTTCACCTCTGATCTTGTTTGTATTATTTGGTTCTGTAAATAATCCTAGTCTATTCCCAGAGTGTTAGTGTTTTCTATTTTTAGTGTTTCTAGTAGGCCCATTGTTCTGTGCTTGTTAATTGTTCCACCTGCAGCTCATTGTCCTGCTCTTTTTGTGATTTGGTTATTTGATTACGATTTACTAGGGCTGGACCAGAATATTCGACTATCCGAATATTCGTTTGGAGGGATGGCATTCGAGTTTTCATTTTGAGATTCGAATATTCGGAAGAAAAAGAAAAATAACACGTGACATCCATCCCGTCGAAACGGTTCTCATTCGCGCTTAAATGACTAGCCCTTGCGGCAACGCCAACATCGTGATTTACAGTACTTTATCTCAGAGAGAAGACAAAAATGCCGAAGACCTCAGTTGTGTGGGAGCACTTTAAATTGACTGAAGACAAAACAAAGGCAGCGTGTCAAATATGCGATTTGAAACTGGCCTACCACTACAGCACAAGTTGTTTTCTGTTTTTATTCTATAAGGGAATTCATTTAATTTTATTTAAACTGTTCGTTAATTAAAATGTGTGATTTTATTGAAAGTATGCTGCTGCCGTGTTCTTTATTTATGAAATTCGTTGAACTTCGTTAATTGATAAATGTTGGGCTACCTTATTTAAAGTATTGCTCT